TCGCCTGCGACTCTTTGTACAACAGTCCTAAACCCTCCTGTATCCTGTGCCAATTTTACTGTCTCAGATACATCTACCTTCATTACTCCAGTGACTGAATCAGTCCATCTCCTAGATGGTCTTCCTCTCTTGCGCTATCCCTTCACCCTCCCAAGAATAACATCCCTCTCCAAGGACCGCTTCCTCCTTGCAACATGTCAAAGTATGTCAGATGATGCTTCAGAATCCTTGACTCCAAGGTTCAGCCCGGTCTCACACTCTCTATAACAAACTGGTTTGTTCTCCTAGCAGTCTGTTTAGATACAGAATTTGTTTTGTTTCTTCTATGATCTGTCTCTTTACTGATATTCTCATTTTGTCCATGCATCTTATTCTTCATATCGTCCAGTTCTTTGTCCATGTTTTTCGTTAGCTATTTGACCATAAATATGCTTTAAATAATGTGGTTATTTGAACTTTTTGTCTTATAAAATCCATGTCATTATGGACAGTTCCTGTAACCTTATTTTTTTAAAATCTTTTTAGTTTTTGCACAATTTACTATTTTGTGCATAGGTGTGTCAGAGTCAGTGAGATTGGTTCAGGAAAGGGCAATAGAGCAGGGTTCAGAACTGTTGTTCATAGGGTCACTGAGTTGCAATCCACTCAATGGCATATAATAACTATTTTGTTAAAGATGTACATTTGAATATTATAATATGATAACTCTGGAAATCCTATGCACCACTTTTCACATTTATTACTTAGAGCCTTTTTGTGTATTTGTTTTGAATTGATGGAACTTATAGTTGTTAATTTGTTTACATATATTCTCTAAGTATTCTTTCCCCATCAACTGCTTTTGATCATTTGTGATTATTGTAGTCTTTCTTTCTTATTTTGTATTTTGGCTGAGATATTATTTAATACCAAAGTAAGGCAAAGCAAAGCAAAGCAAAACAAAACAAAATGTGTGCTCACACGCACATGGATGTGCACACACACACACATGCTAACTTAAAAAACACAAATAAAAACCAAAGCCAAAGTGAAACTAAAGAACTTTGTCTCCTAGTGTTCACGGATCGGCACTTTGCTGTGATCCTCTTCTAACACTTAACTAGGTTAGTACTGATTTTAGAGATGAGCCTAAAGTGATGGTATAGGATTTTCTCATGCATTTTCTGAGTTTACATTGTATTCTGAGAGTGAGTGTGACTTTCTAAGTACTCTTGTATCCATGGATCTGCTTTTAAATATTTTAATTTGCCAAAAAGAGCCTTCCTCTAATTTTTCATTCTAGTGTTTAAAGTATCTGTTTTATATTTCACTCTTTATCCTCAGGTAGCTAAATGGAGTTGGTTATGTATTTAGGCAATACTTGTTGCTTTTCTTCCCCCTGTTAGTTTTGAAACAGGTAATCAGAGACCAGGCTATAGTCTTTACAATTACTTGCTATGCATCAGAGAGTTGGACAATGAATAGGGATGATAGAGAATTGATGCCTTTGAGCTGTGGTGCTGGAGAAGAGTGTTGAATATACCATGGACTGCTAGGAGAACAAACAGGTTTGTTGTAGAGATGGTGAGGCCGGGCTGCACCTTGGAGTCAAGGATTCTGAAGCTTCGTCTGACATACTTTGGGCATGTTGTAAGGAGGGACTGGTCCTTGGAGAGGGACATCATGTTTGGGAAAGTGGAGGAACGGTGCAGGAGAGGAAGACCCTCAATGAGATTGATCGATTCTGTGAGTGGAGTGGTGGGAATGAGTGTGTTTGAGACGGTGAGGCTGGCACAGGATAGAACGGCGTTTAGGGCTCTTGTATATAGGGTCGCTAGAGTCGCAATTGACTCAATGGCACATAAGAACAACAACAACAATCAGAGACCTACACTTTGTGTCTGTCAAGCCTTCAATTTGTGGACAGGTTAGAACAGACATACATAGTAATTTGTTATTGAAATTCTAATCTTCTCCCTTGGAAATTTGGCACCAAAGACCCTCTTCAGGAATATGGGCTGTTACTACTTTAAGATTGCCACTTAATTAGGGGAAATGTTTGGCATGGCAAAGTTAAAAATACTATAAAACTCTCCTACCATTTTGAAGCTGTGTTTGTTTTGATTCAGCCATCACTTAGTTGCTTCATGTAGTTACTGCAATCTTGTGCTCAGAATTTTAACCATGGTGCTTCTCCCAAGTTCTGCTTGATTTTTGGTGTTTGTGTGGTAGAATCAGAGTGAGAAGCTGCTTATGATCTTATTTTGCTTTTATCACTCACTAAGGTATATATATTTTTTAAAGGAGGAAGATATATTGGATCTTCTCGAACAGTGTGAAATCGATGATGAGAAATTAATGGGCAAAACTACCAAGCTACGAGGACCAAAGGTACAGTATCACTACTTCCTCAGATATCCAAGTTGTTGTTACTAAATGCAGTTGTTCTTCCCTTTGTGACTCTTACTATAAGAAATATATCCTTTTGATCAGTGGTAGGAAATGTGTTATATAGTACATCTGAGTATAGTACAGATAGATTTGGAAGATAATATTATCCTCCAGTTGGGTGAAATTTTGCTTCATTTTGTTAATTATCTTCATATCTCCCCACTAATGTTAGTGAAAGCCCTGGGAGTCAGAACCAAAAGGAATATAGAGCTAGTACTATATTATTCTAAATTCAGTGCTTTCCTCAGATCTCTAGAAAGATGTGTAGCTTCTTTTGAAGCTCTTTGCTCATAAATATGATCAAATAATTGCATTATACAAGGCAAATCATAATTCTACTAGCAGCCCCATCTTCCGCTAACCCAGCAACTTGATACTGTGTTAGTTAAAAAAAAAAGGTACCAATTGTAAGAATAAGGAGAAAACTCACATACAGTCAAAAATGAACAAGTTTGCTTTACCTTCTCTGTGTTGGAGACATCCATATATTCTTATGTCACATCCTTATTAGCAGAGTAGAAAAGAGTTCATTCACTTTGTGAAAGCTTGGAAATGGTTTCCATTCTGCTCCTGTAGCTTTACAGTTCAACAACACTAAACCATTTTTTTTGGTCCTTTGACACATCATGCTCTGTCATGCTTTGCCATGCTTCTGAAATGAATTAATTTATATTTAATCATTCACCTGAACTATTGCTGCCTTTGTGAACTTTTCTTACTCTCTCAGAGAGATTTACACTTTTGCCCATCACTGTTTATTTATTTACTATAAAAGAACACATCTGTAGAGTAAATCCCAATGTCATCAAGTCAATCTCAATTCATATTGACCCTGGAGAATGGAATGTAACTGTCCCAATGAAGTAAATCATTATGAAACTAGACTGCTTCATGGTTTTCTCCCCACAAAGAAGTTGATAGGTTTAAACCTCTCACTTGTAGAGTAACTGTGACAAAGGATTGTCTTAATGTCAAGTTTTTCTTTACATAGGATATGCTTTTTAAAATTTTCATTTATAGCACTTAGAATATTGTCTAGCATATAGCAAACATCTTACAGAATTACTAGTTAAGTTTATTGAAAATAATTTCTGTCCTCAGGAACATCATTTGCTAATGTAAGAGCTAGTAAGTAGACCAAAATTGAGAGCTTGTTATGGCAAGCACTGGACTAAAGGAGGGGTAGACTGTCAGTTTGTCATACTATATTGGCTTGCTTGCTGCAGTAGTGTTAAAAACTATGCCACCAATATTTTAAATAGCAGAAATGTTACTCAAGTAGACAGGTTTCAATGTAGCTTGCAGACCAAGACATACTAAGAGGAATAGTTTGTAGTATACTTCCAAAACTTTACCAATGAAAGCTTGATAGATAGAATCAGAAAATCGTCTGAAACAGTGCTGGGGATCAGCCCATAAAATCAGAAGGCACTCAAAATACAACATGAGAAGACTCTACTCCTCAAAAGTAGAGTTGGCCTTGAACAAGTGTTTGGTCCTCCCAGACCTGCTTTTGATTATGTGGCATAACTCAAACTTAGAAATAACAGTTGTGTCAAAAGGAATTTCTGTGTTCAGCAGCTTTTTGAGGAAGCACCAAACTGCCTTCCAAATGTTTGTACCATATTCCAGTCCCACCAGCAATGTCTAAGAGTTCCTGTTTTGCCACATCCTCTCCAACATTTATTACTTGCTGTCCTATTAAAACTTTGTCACTGTTACTGGAGTGAGATGGTATCTCATTGTGGTTTTGATTTGCATCTCTCTTATTGCCAGTGATTTGGAGCAATTCTTCATGTGTCTGTTGGCCATCTCTGTGAAAAATTCATTCCATGTCTTTTGCTCATTTTGTAATTGGGTTGACAGTCTTTTTCTTGTGGAGGACCAGGCTTATTCTGTAAACTTTTGTTATGAGACCCAGCTATTCTACTGCTTGGAATATACCCTGGGAAAACAAGAACAGAGGCACAAATGGAGACTTGTACACCAATGTTCATAGCAGCGTTATTCACCATCACAAGAACATGGAAACAGTCTAGATGTCCAACGACAATCGAATGGATTGAGAAATTATGGTACATTCATACAATGGAATACTATGCAGCACGCAGGAGCAATGATTTTGTAAATTATTACCTAACTTGGGAGGCACTGGAGAGCATTATGCTGAGTGAACTAACTCAATCTCACAAGGATAAATATTGTTTAGAACCATTATTGTAAAGTGAATATGAGGATCCAGGGTGGTGGGGTGGAAACAGAGGGATGGGGATGTGTGATGGTAGGGAGAGGGGATTAATTATAGGGTCGTACAATTTGATGGGTGGGGTGGGGTGAAGGAAATGAGAAGAATCTGGTCTGGAAAACAATGTATTTGAATTTTTTAAATAAACTAGTGTAAAAATATAGCAAAACCAAATAATAGTAGCAAACATCTATTAAAATTGGAACATAAGATGTAAACAAAGAGCACTAGTGATCATAAAAAAATGAAATGGAACCTTAAGGAATGATAGCATAGGTATAATTGTGGTGAGTTTTTGTTGTTGATTGCCTTCAGGTTGAGCATGGCTCAAAGTGAACAAAAGGCCTGAAGCCCCTCTACAACTATCAACATTTATCAGAGTTCATGGGGTTTCTAGAGTCATGTTGTTTAGGAAGTGGATGTCACTCCTGCCTCCAAACCTATTACTGTTGTTATGTGCCATTGAGTTGCTTGTGATTCATAGTGACCCTATTATTTTCCTGAGCCAATCTCACTAATTCTGACACACCAACCCCCATTGCCCCAGTCACTGTATCAATTCTTCTCATCCAGGGTCTTCTTCTCCTGTGCTGTACATCCATCCTTCCAAGCATAATGTCTTTCTCCAAGGACAAGTCTCTCCTGGCCGCATGTCCAAAGTAAGTGAGGCAGAGCTTCAAAAGCCTATCCTCCAAGGAGAGACTTGGTTTCACCCTCACCAAGACAGACCTGTTTGTTTTATTGGGAGTCCATGATTTGTTCAAGATTCTTCTCTAGCTCCACAACTCAAAAGCATCTATTCTTCTTCTGTCATCCTTAATCATTGTTCAACTCTCTGAAGCATTACAAGTAATTAAGACCATGGCCTGAATTAAGCACACCTTTGTATCTAAACTGGCATCATTGGTTTTCAGCACCCTGGAGAGGTCCATGACAGCAGATCTTCCCAATGCAATTCATCTTTTTATTTCCTGACTGCTGGTGATTGTGGATCCAAGCAAGCTGTAATTGCTAACAACTTCAATCTCTTCTCCATCTAATATAGTGCTGCCAATTGGCCCAGTGATGAGAATCTTTGTCGTCTTGATGTTGAGCTTCCGTCCATATTGAAGACTAACTATAGTCCTTGACCTTTTGCAGCAAGTGCTTCAGGTCTTCTTCAGTTTCAGCAAGCAAGCAAGCAAGCAAGCAAGCAAGGTTTCTACATATTGTAGATTGTTAATGAGTCTTCCTCTAATCTTGATGCCACAGTGCGCTTCATAAAGCTCTGCTTTCTGAGTGATCCATTCTGCATACAGATTCAAAAGTTATGGGGACAGGAAACATCCCTGATGCACTCCTTTCCTGATTTTGAGCCATGCAGTGTTTCCTTGCTCTGTTCTTAGGATTGCTTCTTGGTCCAAGTATAGGTTTCATATAAGCATGACAAAGTGTTCCGAGATTCCCATTCTCCTCAAGTTTAGCCACAATTTATTGTGATCCACACAGTTGAATGCCTTTGCATAGTTAATGAAACACAGACAGACGTTCATTCTTCTGTTACTCTATACATTCTGCGAAGATCCATCTGACACTGGCAATAATGTCCCTAGTGCCATGATCTCTTCTAAACCCAGCTTATACTTCTGGTAGTTTTCTGTCAGTGTACTGTTCAAGTCTTTTCTGGATAATTTTCAGAGGGATTTTGCTAGTGTGTGATATTAGTAATATTGTTCAATAATTTCCACACTGTCGAGTCACCTTTTTTTTTCTTTTGGAATGGGTATAAATATGGATCAGTCAGTTGGCCAAGTAGTTGTTTTCCAGATTTCTAAGCACAACTTGGTGAGCACAGGCAGGGCAGCATCTGTTTGCTGAAATACATCGATTGGTATTCCATCAATTCCTGGGGCCTTATTTTATCTATCTATGTATCTATCTATCTAAAAAATAGAGTAGTGCAATCCATTTTTATTTTTCTAGTTATATGCTCATATGGTATATATATTATATGATATTATATATGATAGCTATATGGTCATGCTATGCTATGTTCCTATATGGAACAAATTACTAAAGAGCAATGATATTAGTTTGAAAACTAAGGTGTACTTGATTCAAACCATGGTCTTTTCAGTCATATGCTATACAACTGAGAGATGGACAGTGAATAAAAATTATAGAAGAAAAACTGATGCCTTTGAATTGTGGTTTTGAAGGAGATTACTGAATACCTTGTGGTCTGCCAAGAGAACAAACAGATAGATCTTGGAGAATGTGAAGCCAGATTGTTTCTTGGAAGTAAAGGTGGTGAGGCTAGGAGAAAGATGGTGTGTTGCTAGGAGAAGCTATTCCTTGGAGAAGGACACCATGCTTGGAAATGTGGAGGGACAGTGAAGTAGTGGAAGTCTCTCACCCAGGACGATTGATACAGTGACTGCAGCAAAGGGCTTGAGTGCGTCAAAGATTATGAGGTTGGGACACAATAGGAGAGGGTTGACAGCTATTATTTGTAGAGTTTCTGTGAATCATACTCGACTCCAATAATAAATAAAAATAATGATGCTAGGAACAAAGTTCAAGAGAAATATCAATACATTTATTGTTGAAAAAAATTTCTGAAGTACCATGAGATTGGTAATATGCTTGCAAGAAAGACCAGTTAAAATTACTCTTATTCAAATTTATGCACTAACCATGAAAATCAAATACATAA